GCGAGCGAGCGGAACTGTGCGGCCGGTCCGTGCCGTGCCGCGCCAAATCTCTGGGCTGTGCGCGGTATCCTAACGTCCGCCCAGCGCGATTTGGCCAGCCGAGATCGTTTAGCGCCTCTAGCGCCCACAGATCCGGTGCGCTTAGTGATCAGAGTGGTCGATGACTTCGGGGATGGGTCAGACTTCATGCCGGTACTCGCGATGTTTTTCTGCGATCAATCCCCCCCCCCCCTCACAATTTGTACTAAGCCAATTTGATCACCCATCATGGATCGAGCGCCTTGAAGAGGCTCAGGGTTGGGCCCAGTTCGAGGCTGTCGTCGACGACTGGACCACGTCCTTGCAGGGTCCACGCCGCGCTCGCCGGCAGGGGGGGCAGGGAAGGGGCCGTCGGGGTCGTCGGGATGCAGCCGAAGAGGCGCGCCACCTTCAGCGCCTGTACCGCCTGAACAAGAAACGAGCTATGAGGGAAGTGCGGGGGGAAGAGTCTCCTCTATGCCCCGTGCGAACCGAGGAAGTTGAGGCGTACTTCAAGGATGTTTTCAAAGGTCGCCAGATGGACCTCTCAGTCGCCCCGGACGGAGTTGTCCTGCCTAAAACTCAGCTCCATGACGGGATCCTCGTGGCACCCATCAACAAAGAGGCCATCGCCGCAAGGCTCAGCAAGGCTGCCAACACAGCTCCTGGTCCTGACGGCGTAGACTTCAACACCCTAAGGTCCAAAGATCGGGGGGCTCATGTCATGTTCGTTATCTTTAGCCGCTGCTACAATGCTCAGACCATCCCGGCTGCCTGGCGAACATCAAGAACTATTCTTTTTCACAAGAAAGGACCCAAGGACTCTTTTTCTAACTGGCAACCAATAGCTTTGTCCAACTGCATGTACAAACTTTACACAGGTGTACTTGCCGACGCCATTTTGAGCTGGTCACTTACAACTGGTGCCATCTCAAAGGAGCAAAAGGGTTTTATGCCCTACGAGGGTTGCTCCGAACATAATTTTGTGCTCCAGCAGTGTCTTGATGATGCTCGCATCACTAACTCTAACCTTACCATCACCTGGCTTGACCTGACGAATGCCTTCGGCTCAGTACCACACAACGTCATCAAAATGATGCTCCAGCAACATGGTCTTCCACAACACCTCGTAGACCTTACTAGGTAGATGTACGCCAGACCACGTCTCGCGTAACAGGCTTCGCGATATCTCACGAAACACTGTTGCGCTGCGACGCGCCTGGCATACATCTACCTAGGCCTGCGGCGCTGACACCCGAGTCGGGTATCGCAAATATGAACACAAAGATACGGGCCTCCGGCCCGTCAACTTCCCGTCACTTCGACTAAGCATGCAGGGTTGTACAGTTTTTCGCTTATTTTCGTCAAAAACTCCCTGTGGCGCCTAAACGGTTAACGATAGAGCCAAACGGACGAAATATTTGCCCGGAGGGCTCTACTTTGATGAGTTACCCCTTAGAAAACATTAAAAAAATATTTTTAAAAACATCATTTTGGGGACCTGTGGTTTTTGATTTTTTTAAAATTTAATTCTTGAGCTAGAATGCTCTTCTTCGAACTTGATCTGTCTTTTTATGACACAAAGCGACCCTGGAAATCCCAGGTCGCTAGCTCAATTCGTTCTCGAGTTATCGTGATGACAGACAGACACACAGCCACACACACAGACAGACAGACAGACAGACGCGAAACTTTTTCATCACTGGAGTAATAGGCTTCGCTAATCGCTCAGCCAATTATGGACCTCTACAATGGATGGACCTTCTTCAGCACGTCAAGTGGGGACACTGGGCCTGTAAACATGGATGCAGGAGTGAAACAGGGAGACCCTCTCTCACCTGTAATATTCAACCTAGTAATAGAGATCCTCATACTCGCCTTGCTCCTCCTGAAAGATACCAATGGCTACAAACTGTTTGACAAATCTCTCTGCTGCCTCGGGTACGCAGACGATCTTGTCCTTCTGGCACGCAGTAAAGAAGACATGCAGCACCTCTTAGATGCCGTTAGCTCTGCTGCTCAGTGGATTGGGCTGAGCTTCAACGCGAAGAAGTGTGCAACGCTCTGCCTGGGTGCAGTGCTCCGCCTTTGGTTGATGTGTGTCGGTTCTCGTGCTTTTCTGTGTCGTCGTGGTCGCGCCTTTTCATTCAAAACTGTTTGAAGTCTGCTTTCCAATGGAACCAATGTCTCCGCCCTATAAGCCCCCGCGGGAGCTTCAGGCATTGGCCCACAACACCGTTGTAGGAATAATGCAACTATTAGACAAACGAGTCATTGCCCTAGCAATAGCCATCATCGATGCCTATCTTGTCGATGCTGACGGGGACGACAAGAAGATGCTGGAGTGGCTGCGAGAAGAGACGCTAACGACCGTCGCCCAGCATGGGTCGTCTGGACAATCTGGATTCCCAGTTGAACAGATGAAGCGAAATTCGCCAAAATTAGCGGCCGTGAACATTCTGATGAATTCAAAGAAACTTCCCACCTCCGAAATACTTCAGCAAATGCCCATCGACAGCAAGCAACTAGAGTTTATTGACGGTAGGTTGAACGATGTTGAATTCAAGAAGGAAGTTGAAAAGGACATAAATCAGATGGAGCTGAAATAGAGCTTGTCGATACATTCGCAGAGTTCAGTTAACAGCATGAGGCGTTGTTGCAACCTCAGGGTGTCAAATGTTCGGACGAATCAGATACCCCTACTTTAGTTGTGACTTCTATTATCGATCAATCCATTGTTCACAGCTCTATTAAGGATGCCTTGGCCATAAACAATGATAGTTCGAAGAGGGAGCCCTTTGACATGGAAAATACCTCGCACTCAGACGAAGAGTCCCTGGCCGATAGAGTGAAACGCCTGAGGCCATCTCCTGATTCTAAAAGACCGAAGCCTGGACCATCTAAGACTTCCCCAGACAGTGATTCGGAAGACGTCGACGATGATGCCAGTGAAGAGCATAAGAAGACTGACGACGACGATGACGACGTGCTCATTTGGGACTGAGGCCAGCCAGCAATTTTCAACAGCGTCAAACATGCATGGCAAGGGGGATGAAGACGAAGAGGTCGTCGACGTGCGGATTCCCGACGATGTGGGCGAGCAGCTTCAAACGTGGGTGCAGCAGTATAGCACAGATATCCTTGACGCTGTCGAGGGCTTGTTCCGTCCCAAAGATAAGGATGACCTGATGCTTCTGCCGACCCAATGCAACCTCCTCACGACGGACAAAACATTCGTTGTGTACGTGGAGGACGAGGAGACCAAGCAAGCTGTTACGCTGGGAAAATACAAATACCCAAGACATATGGTGCCAGTGCTGCACCTACCTGCTATATTAACGATGCTGCGTATGCAGGATGCATTTCTGCGGCACTGGCATCATTCCGAAACTGCTGCAAGGTTGAGCAAGTTGCCAAAGAGGTGATCCTCAACATCATCACCTGTCCACGCCAGAGTACAAGGAAGAGTGGTGTTGTACCCACGAACATTAGAAGTCTTGCAATACCATCGGACCTTAAAATTTAAAGGAAGAAAGATCAGCTGGTACGACAACATTCCGATGTCCTTCGTGCAACAAAGTGAGCGTCATTTCACGCTCGCAGAGGACGGCCCAGCGGGGGTTAACAAGCACTTACAGTCCTTCATCCTGTGTTTCCTTCCCATCTATGGGCTTCGACCATGCAACACCCTGTCGCTCAATTTTACCCCAGGGGCCGTCAATTCATGATTCGTCAATTAAGGGGTGGTGAGGAAGGGTTGGAAGTTCGCAAGGGCGGTTTTAGACACGACATTATGTCGGCTATACCTAGGAGAGTACTCCCCTAAATTTTCAGCCGGATCCGACCCCCCAATCGCTCAGGGGAGCGTCACAAAGCAACCTCTGTTTCCTGACCACACTGCGAAGAGTGGTGTCGCGATGCGTTAGGCCCCACATCTCGCGAACTGTTCGAGATCAAGGTTTCCGCTTTTAGGTGTCTGTTGACAATATATGAGCCAACCTCCCTGGCGAACGGCAACCTCCTACCTAATCACACTTGGGAATGAGATATTTTACGAATAAGAAGAACAGAAGGAATCCCGGCTTTTGGACCATAACAAGTCGCAGGTCACTGGTGCCTAACGACACGGTTGCTCGTGTACCAGATTTATGAGGTTCTCAGCTTTAAACTGATATAGAACAGATTTGACTTCTTTTCAGTTCCAGCGGAGATACGCGAGAAACCGTGCGCTTGGTCATGGCTTTGTTATGGTCCGGGAGCAGACGTCGGCCGGGATTCCTCCAGTTCTGCTTATTCGTAAAATACCTCATTACACCCTGTCAAAGAAGAGGTGCTTTAATAGGGTGTTCCAGGCAATCTACAACGGAAGTAGGGAAAGTACAAACTCACTGACCTTTCTGTTTCCGTAAGAGCTCTGATTGGTCGAGCTAATCACGTGCCTCCGCCGCCTTTCAGGTATGAGAAACTGTCAGATCAGTTCCGAGCCCCCCTCCATATTTGAGAGGTAAGGATCGGACCAAACTACCATGGAAGTTTCTCATACTGGGCGGACGGAAACAGATAAATCAGTGAGTTTGCTCTTTTTCACTTCCGTTTTAGATAGCCTGGAACACCCTTTTCAATGTTTGTGAGTCTAGGATGGAAAGTGCCTCTTAAATCAGAGAAAAATAATGCTGTTACCCCCAATGACAATGTGCCTGTTCAGGGTGACGGTAGTTTACCTCATAGTCAGTGAGCTACACAGTAATTTATTTTATCAACTTTGGAATAGCGTGCAGTACTATTTCCAATTTATTTTTAATTTTTTTTTTCAGAGAAAAAATCTTTAACAACCAAGAAGGCAGCGCTGCCGGCTAGCAACAGTAAGCAGACTCCTCCTGGTAATTATATCCTGAGTTCACAGATTTCCAATCGTAATAATTATCACCAAAAGCATTCTATTTTTAGCGTAACTATTTTTCTCCTGTTTGAATAGGAGAGAGCTTAAGTCGAAGTAATATTCTAAACATGACCTTTCTCCTGATTTCAAAACACCTAGTAAGTATTTAAGAGTGATACTTTTGTGTTGAAAAGTCTCTCTTCATAATTTTAAATTCCCCTTTAAATTTATTTCCTTCTGTTTGTATAGAAAATAGACCTTCATCCAAGCCCAAACAGAGTATCACAGCTGACCTCTCTTCTGTTGTCAAAATGCCAAGTAATGTATGTCTTTTGTTTGTTTTTTTTTTGTTTTGTTTTGAACAGTATGTATCATTTTTCCTTTTTTGTCGGCTTATTTTTCTCTCTATTTTGCAGAAAATACATCATTAACTGATAAGATCAGTTGTCAGTATTGTCAGGCATGTTTTACCAACAGAAGTAATTGCTATCGCAATGAAAGCGTTTGTAGTGGTAACTCAAAATCCAGTCCACAGTATTGGTGCCCTAGTTGTTCAACTATTTCCAATCGAATGGGCAATTTAAAATCTCACTCAAAGAAATGCAGTGGGAATGAGACTGCAAAACGCCCCCCCCCCCCCTCTTTCCGAAGATCACCTTTCCTAATAGCAGATTGTGGGCTGGATTTCTGCCATAAGACAACTTCAATTGAACATCTCAAATCAGTGCACCGAGACGACGTTTCCTTAAAAGATACACAACACCTTGAAGTTTGCATCCGTTGACCAGTTTCTCGAATGGAACGAACAAGAAGAAGAGACCACTTTTTCCTATTTTTGTCAAAAGAAAGGTCAAGCTAACGCTACTATAAAACGTTTCTACTGCCAACATGATGGCACAGGCAAGTGCCACTCTGTGCGCAAGACCACGCGATGCAGTTTAAAAGGGCGCATCAAGGTTGGGCAC